GTTTTATTGTTATTTTGGGCTGGATTTGGTCACTGAACAGCAGTAGGGTATACACTAGAGCTGCACGATTCTGGCTAAAATGAGAATCGCAAATTATTATTATTATTTTTTTTGCTCAAAATAAAGATCACGATTTTCTCACGATTCTGTAGATGTAAAATAAAGGTGTGGTAAAAACAAACATATGGCACAACATTGATAATAATATTATGTGTAGCTCTACTGGCTTCTTTAAATAATTCTATTGTACTTATAATAACTCTGATGTTGAATTATGATGTTTGAGATATATGCTTGCTATCTGTCATATTAGACAATTTTATTCACTGGTAAAATCAGACATTTGCTATTATCAGATTATATTGAACAATATATAGGCTGGAGTAGTTATACTGACACTGTAAACATTTATTTTCATGCACAACTGTGTGTTCGCTATGATAGAAAAAAAAACATAGGCTATCAAACGCTTGCCGTAATCATAACTCTAAAATGCGATATGATCATTTACATGAAGTGCACACTTTCTTTTTCATTCGGACTGCTAAGTGCTTGTTCATACTTCGCGCGCGGCTCCCAAATGATCACTCTGTGCCACAAACTGAATATTATTTACAACTGTATTACCTGTTACTCGCAACATATGCAGGTTCTGTTCACTAAAGTAGACGCGCGCGCGTCTATCATTAAGTAGAGCACATCCGCACGCCCTCTCTGTGATAACAGCTCATGGCCAGCAGCTCACATCACGTGGGATTTCCTGATCGCGAAAACATCATTATATGAAGACAAAAATGACATGTTTATGTGAATTATACCTTATGAATACAGTATGTGACTCATTCAACATCATTTGGAGGTGTCAATTTCACTGAGCAACGTGTGTGAAACAGTGAAAAGACTCGTGCAGCCGCCATTTCTTCTCTCCTGAACTTGAAAATATGATTGACAGAATCGTAGAAATGCTGGATTAAGATCGTCTAGGGCGTCAAATCGAGATCGCCATCTTTGCACGATGAATTGTGCAGCTCTAGTATACGCTGAGCTAGTGTTGTTCCCATACTGATACACTTCCGCTGAGCTGTTATTGTCAGTTTTTTTCATTTTATACGTTTCCTTTTACCGCATCGATGTTGTGATGTAATTAAAATACAATCAGATAAGCAGACTCTGGCATTCATTTAGTTGTTTAAACATAAAAAGAGACAAAGAGCCGTTTACTCGCACGCGCCCGTCAGAATCGGCAGGCTAGCGCAGAAGCTCCATTGAATATACTGGGGTAAAATAAATGCCGATATTATAAAGACATGGTGAGGGGAAATGTAGTTTAATGCGGTGCTTCTGTACAATCTGAGACCCACTTTATATCAGATATCACTCAACCAGTGGAGATCGCTGATTTTTAAAGAAAACAGACCTTAAACACACTGATTTTGCAATGGCAGAGAGTTCAGCGGAGACGCTTAACACAGGTTAATGGCAAATTAAAAGTCCTGTTAGCATGCTTCAGCATATACCCCATAAACAACACTTTAAACTATAAGCAGTTTTCTTGTGATCTTCTAAACTAGTCGTGTTAAAAGTAATAAATGCACAATAGAGCTGCAGGATTCTGGCTAAAATGAGAATCACGATTTTTGCTTAAAATAAGGATCAGAATGTCTCTGGATGCTGTATGGCCACTTGATTTTGGGGAGAATCATAATCACGATTATTTTGGTCATAATTGTAATCACGATTATTAGTTGTAGTCAAAATTATTAGCACCCCTGAGAATTTTTTAAAATAAATATTTCCCAAATGATGTTTAACAGAGCAAGGAATTTTAACAGCGTTTCCTCTAATATTTTTCTTCTGGAGAAAGGCTTATTTGTTTTGTTTTGGCTAGAATAAAAGCAAATTTAAATATTTTGAAACCTCTTTTAAGGTCAATATTATTCGCCCCTTTAGGCAATATATATGTTTGATTGTCTGCAGAAGAAACTACTGTTGTACAATGACTTGCCTAATTACCCTAATTAAGCCTTTGAATCACACTTTGAATTTGAATGTTTGCATTTAAAAAAAAAAATCTACTAAAATATTCTGAGCGGTCATCATAGCAAAGAGAAAATTAATGGGTTATTAGAAATGAATGATTAAATCTATTATGTTCAGAAATCTTCTTTCCATTAAACAGAAATTGGGGGAAAGGTTGCTAATATTCAGGAGGGCTAATAATTCTGACTTCAACTGCATATATTATTTTCCTCCCTGCAAAGGAAAGAGAAATAAATACAATAGAATAAAAATATGAAACAAACTGTGCTTTCAGCATCTTCACCGTAAGAAAAACACTTTAGCTACAAAAGTCTTCAGTCAAGAGCAGAGAGGGATTTTCTCGTTGTTTTATTAATCATGATGAAACAGGCGGCAGCTGTGCTCTGTCACTTTAATGGTTTCGCTTTCTCCTGTCTTTTGATTCTCAACTCGTAACTCGGTTTGTTTATTACAAAATGAGGGTGAATATGAATAATCACTAAACACTGCGTTTTGACACCTATTTGAACATTAAAGCGCTCGCATTAATGACTTTAGATGTGTGTGCTCTCTGCTCGTCACAATGTGCGAATGAGACCAAGTGCATATGCTTCTGACTATCTGCGCGCCG